CCATAACTATTAGCTAAATGTCGTGCAACCTGCGAATTGTGCAAACTAGTCAATGTTGGATAATAACTTCTAATGTTATATAAGTCATAGATTAACGTTAATCATCGATTAATACTTCAGTATCTAATTTGAATTGTTGAATGAGCTTTATAAACATTGTTGGAGAATATCCGTGCGACCCAATAAGCTTCGTTATTTCAGTACGACATTCATTCGGGGGTTTCAGTCCTTTGAATAGTTAAGGTAACTTATGGTTTGTTTAAAATGATAAAAACAAAGGCACTATGCACTAAATGAAAACCAACCAAATACTTTAATAGCTGTATCAACCGTTTCTTCTGCCATATTTCTGTATGTTGTCCATTTTCCACCCGCAATTGTAATTAAATTGGAAGGGCTAACGTTAATCATGTGACTTCTCACTAATTCTGACGTATTTTTGGCACCAGGATCACGCACTAAAGGACGAATTCCGGACCAAGCAGCAAGAACATCACTGCGTCGAATTTCAATGTCTGTAAATAAAATATCGCGTATATGTAATTTGATCAAATAAATACAATTTGGAGTTTGTGATAAATAACGATAAGAAACAACAATTGAACTACAGTATAGGTGGGCAAGATCAACAATATTCACGTGCACATATAAAAAATTAATAATAATGCCCACCTCTACTACAGTTCACTCAGCCACATTGCAAAAGATCCAAGAAAACAAACCAGGACTTAAGTATGTTCTGATTTCATTAAGAATCCATTGTATTTCTTCTTCTTTAGGCATTGGGTTGTACGTCAATTCAGTGGGTGAATCTGTTGTTCCAGCAATTGTACTTCCTTCCCAAGGTAAAAAAAAAATTACCCTCCCATCTGATGTAGAAGGATCAATCATGCCCATTTTTCGGGGGCTATAATAGTTTGGTAGGACAACATGAACACCCGCAGATGGAGCGACAATGTTGTCACATCTAGGATTATCCATAGAACGAATACCATCTGTGCAATGAAATTAGATTAAATGCTAATTGGACACAAATTCAACAGTTAACATAACCGCGTTCTTTGACTAATATAGGCCAATACGCGTGTGACGTCAATCTACCTGTAAATGCACCAGTAGCATTTATTACACCTTTAGCTCTGATGTCCCATTCATCACCGCTCAAATTATCTCTGACTCGTGCTCCAATGACTTTGCCCTCATCGTCTTTCAATAATCGTGTAACCTCCACGTGATTTGCAACAACTGCGCCATGTGAAACGGCGGACAATGCAAGAGCGACGTTCATACGTGCATCATTGTGTTGACCTAAATGAATATCATAAAACAACTAAGTAACAACTTGCTTTTATGGACGAATAGTAATTATGAGAGAACCAACGTGAAGTTAGGTATGATGTAAAGTAACATATAGTAAATTAATGCACGAAAAAGATGCTAGTATTCGCCAAAACGCCTTTGAAAAAGGGACATTAATAAAGTGCCATTTTTCTT